ACATATATTTAAGAATAAGCATACACATACATCCATCCACAGTACACACATAGGCATACAATTATATTGCACACACACAATTAATGCCTTAATGCCTTACAATAACGTATAAGGCTGCAGATTAAGAGATTACTTAGACATGAAAAATTATTAAAATTAATCTAGTAAGAATGGCATTTAATAAGCTAATGTGATAAAGCTGTATATACAAAACTGAAGCCATATAACGCAAATATGACCGTGAAAGTTGAAGTAAGTTCTGAATCATGTTTTACAAAAAATATTTCATACAAAACTATCCTCAAGTTGACAAATACAAATTTTAACTTCAAGCGTGTGACATTTGATGGTGTATTAACTTTATACGTCAAATAGGGCGTGGTTTAGTCACATAGTTACATATCGCAAAGATTCTACTGAATTGAAGTACACGGGCAGGAAAAAACAAATGTATTTTTTGGCTATACAAAAAGAATAATAGAACTCTTTTATGCAAGATTGTATAAGCATCAGCCGGCGCATTTTCTTCAGCGCAACGTCATCTACAGAATTTGTAAAATTCATCCGATCGATGAACGGAGCAACGCACTGACTATGTACGTACCACTCGCACCCACGAAAAGCGTAAGAATTAGAAAGAGATGAATACAATTGAAATTACGTCCGTATAACAGGTCGTTGTTCAGCATAATACATCACTTAAAATTTTAACTATCATAATGTATAAAATGAAGTATTAACTAATTAATCTTACTTCTTCCCGTCTCATAATTTCTACTTGCAATCGCTTGTGAAATTCTTCACATTCGTCGCGATATTTTTCCATTTCTTCTTTCGTTTGACGCATTTTTTTCTTAAGGACGTCAAGGAGCGTTCCTTGCTGTACGTTTGTCGTCATTTTTAATACTTTTTAATTAACACTCCAGAACCAAACACACAACACTTCACACACGCAACACCAAACTATATCAATCACCGACTAACTGAACAGATAACCGGACTCGCCCGTTCGACAAAATGGCGACTATTTGACAAAGCGGCCACCGGCTGGAATCATAGTTGGAGAGGGACAATAGTGCGAAGTGTGTTGCGACAAGGGTCAATATATACGTAACTGTAATTATTCTAAATTACCTAAACACCATCACATGACTCCGCAGTACAATCAAGTCTATATGAAAACAAAAACAATAAAACAAATTCGTTTAATAAAAGGGATTCGAAGAAATTTGAGAAAAGAAGAGATTTTAAAGATTTTTGAATCAACACCTACATGTTATCCCAAACTTATCTTTCCAAAAGTACAGAACGAGTGACAGACATACAATCATCCCAACATGTTTTACCCAAAAATTTTGATTAAAACCATCAACATTTAATAAATTAAATAAACATTGCAAACGTACGAACGTGTAAGGTCATTGCGAAATATGAAGTCCAAAGTGTTCCCTAGACCCACCTGTGGAGGGCAACGCTTCCGGTCTCTGCGATTGAATTTAAAAAACAGCGCGAAACAATATACGTAGGATGGGCTTTATTTATTATAGCAAAAATAGAATTGACATTGATTTGTTAAAAAAAAATAAGTGTACCGTGATAAACAAGTGCAGTGCGTGTAGTGCATTTACATTTTCTATTCAACAGTTTACTACGCCAATACTACCACACAAGTGAAAAATATTAAATCAAAATATAATATCTAATTCGCTAATATTTTAAATTGTTCCGTGTTTAATATTTTTCAAAGATTAAAAATATTGTTATGTTATCAGCAAAGCTTTCCATGTTTCACGAGGTAATATTCATTGCGAAAACATTAATTTAAAAGTGCAGAAAATGAAAAAAAAACATTAAATTAATATTAAACTATAAATATTTATAATCGTTTAATTAGTAACACAATGAATGAACAATAACGCCGAATAAATTACCTTCCTCAAAATAAAGGCAAAAAATCGCTAATTCAATATTGTAAATTAATATTTAACATTAATATTTAGTTATGTTTATAAGTTTTTAATAGGTTCCCAAATTTTCTAACGCAACTTAAATTTCGAATGCGTACAAAACATACGCTACATTTGAAGTTAATAGAATTAATGCACACTGCCGAACGATAAGTCATACGTCGCCACGTGTTCGTATGCGTTGCTCTGTTCTTCGACACTTGTTTACATTGGAGCCTACTGGTGGACGTATGAGTATTCTAACGTTATTTGCGTCGTGCTACACCGACGCACATACGCAACAGCTGATAATGGATACGCCGCGACTATGTACAATACGCCACATACTTTCCAAATCATTGTATACATTAAATTATCACTTGCAAAATATTATATTTAACTTTCGAAAATGAAGTTTGTATTTAAAAATGATAAAATCATTATTGTTTACAAACCCATACTCCAATTAACATAATAAAGTACTTATTATGACTTTTAAAGAAGGCAGCACTAAATTATTATACCCCAAAATGCGTATTGCTCGCCTTCTTACCCGTTTCAATTGTGCATTCATAATGTTATGCAACTCGTTCTTGATTATAGAAAATTTCATCATGGTATCGGAACTGAAGATGGATCGTCCAAAAGCAAGCCCGGGATAATCTGCACATCTGTTTTTTCGTCTATTTTCTCGTTCCGCCACCAATTCCGTTCGTTCGCTGGTACACCGCAGCCTGGCTAACTCTTGAGTTTCAGGATCGTCCTGCGATTCTTCCTGAGGTCCTGGTCCGCCTTCCACTGCAGGTCGTGGTCCTTTAGCTCGACTTCGGCTTCGATGCCTCTTTTGCTTCTCATTAGCTGCATTTTTAGAAGATTTTGTATTTAGCTTATCATCTTCTACATTATCTAGCATATTTATTTCTTCGAGTTTTAATAATTGTGGTCTCTCATGGGTCGAGACTACATTCTCATCTCTATTTACTAAGGCACTAAGTGATTTATTTTCGTCATCAAAACATTTGGTCGTAGGTTGTAAAATATTTTCACTAAATTTATTATTATCTACGTTTATAACTACGGCAGCCACATCTTTTATTTTGCTGTCACTTGCTTTATTATCTTGGTTCAATGGTAGTACATGTTCTGTCACAATATCGAAGGCTTGCGATTGGTATGCCGCACTAGTTAATTCTTGTGGTTGCCGTTGTATCGTTAACCCCCGTGTGCCTTCGTTTCGGGGGTGGTGTTGGTGACCCCGTCTACGCCCCATCCCGGGTGCCTGGCCGCCGTTACGGCTTGACATTTCACCACTGTTCTTCACCGTGACACAACACCGGCGGCCATCTTGACTCAATTGCTTCGCCTTTCTGGCACCGTGGCGCTTCGAACTATGTTCGATGGCCGCCTTGCGTCGAGCAGCACAAGCTCGATCGTTGCGCGGATTTTTTATATTTGAATGTTGCGGTATTATTTTCGCGCAGCATCGTGTTTTGACTCTCAATGAGCGTTGTACTTTTGTTCGATTCACATTATTAACACTACCTCGTATCATAGTAACATAGTTTTAATTGAAACTAACCTCCTTTACAACTGATCGGTTTGCCGGCTCTTCCTCAAAAGCATATGGTTGGAGAACATTTCACCAATTTATTGTAAAATTTTGCGAATTTAATGTCGTATTATATATATGTTATTCACTACTTATTTTAAATCGATCGGAATAAATGGCGTCATACCTAAAATTAAACATTTAAGCAACCTTTTTTGGTCAAACGTTGAGGCCCGTGGTACAAAAATAGAGCGTGGCGGTAACATGATACATATGCAGGCAGCGTAGTTTTATATTTAGAATGTTTTAGAACAAGCGATGATGTTAAACTGCGGTATTTAACGGATATAGGTCATATAAGATGATAGTCGTCGTCTTTATAAAAAATCGATTATAATTCTGAAAGATGGTCCTAACTATTGAACAAACTCACAAAGATTCAAAATAGGAATATTATAAAGATGTTGATACTAGATTGCCGTAGTTTTCTGCATAATCCAATAAATAATATTGTTTAATAAATATGTTGCTAAACATAGTTTAAATCACGTCCACAAAAATTTTTATTCACATTTTAACGCACCCCATTGCACAGGCCTGGGCGTGATTTACGTATCGTGATTGGTGATACGATGTTAATATATCTTTTATATTCTATTATATTACATTCAATAACATTATATATATATATATATATATATATATATATATATATCACTGAATATGTTGAATTGATACATATTTTTAATAATAAATAAATATTGATGTACTGTGTCACGAAAAAACATCAAACTTGAATATTATAGCATAGCGGTTATTCAAATCTATAACAAACTTCGTAATTTTATACTGAATTTCAATACTCGATGAGATCGACATTGCAACAAAATAAAAAATAAAGGCTAAAAAATTGAATTCGCACAATTTCCATATTATGGTATTCCATGTCCAGAAAGATATTCTGGTGTGAATTTTCGGATTCTCTGATATAATAACGTTTCATACTAAATGTATAATTTTTTGATCCTTTATTTTTTTAAATTTTAGTCAAAGTGAGAATTCAATTTAAAAAGATGATAATAAGAAATGTCTAAAACAGTAAATTTTAATGAAAAAAAACTACATACAAATTACTAAGAAATTATCACAAAAAATGAGATCCAGTAATCTTTACTTCTTTGAAATGAAAAACTATAAAAATACATTTGTATGCATTCGAATTGCGAGTAAAGCTTCGATATATATCAATATAATAGAGAATTAAAATCCTAATCGATGAGGTTGGTTATTGATATAGACTTTCACTTTTCAACAATTTAGATTAAACAATAAATTTTCATCATAATAGGACATAAGCATGGATCCTATGTTTGTCGATCCATATGTTTGTAAAAATTGATTGTTTTTTTTAAAAAAAAAAGCTAAATTAAAACTTTTTTGAGTTCTTAAATATAAATATATATATGTGCAATTGCATAAAAATACCACACTATGGTGGGACTTACATTTTGGAGAGCCTTGTCTTTCTCTTCGAGTTTTCCATTGACTTGCATCAATGACTCCTGAGTTTGGTCAAGATCGTTCTCAATTGATTGGATCTTCTTTTGCAGAGAACGGGCCTCTTCCTCGGCCTGTGATATTATCAAACAAACTTATTTTAAAATGCAATAACTAAAAAAAGTCTATTTCAAACTATTTAGAAGCAAAAATGTGTTGCCAATAATAATTTGTTATAGGATTTTTATATAATAAATATTAGGGTAGGGTGGGGCACAAAAGTCCAATTTGACTTTGAGCAATTATATTGTGAAAACCAATCCAATTATATGATGCCAAAGAACCATAGACCTTATATTATTGTAGTGTAATGTCTATGCAAATAACATATGACAAACAAACGACTATCTTATTATGTTCAGTAAAACTCCCAGCTAATCATTATAGAAATATGTTTTTTGCTGTTTTTCAAAAACATGCCACATGGATCTTTTCATCCCATAGGCGGGGTAAGAGTAAAAATAGGTCTAATCTCTTATTTATAATTTTATAGAGATTTTACGAAATAATAGCTACATTATTCAACCAATACAAAATATAAATTTTATGAGTACATTTTTTACAGAGCTGGAAAATGTATTCATTAACAGACTTGGAATAACTATTTATTTAATTTATCTTCTGTAAAACTGCTCTCTTTAATTCAATTTACTTCTTTATTTACTAATTTTGTTGTTTACACCTTTGCCAGAGTGAAGGTTCTGTTAGTGCTTTTTACCCTACCCATGTGTAAGTTTTTACAGATGTTATACAAAAAAAATTCTGTTGAATCTATTCTACTCCGTGATACCCTAGATATAACTTAATCGTGAGATTGGAACTAAACAGCAGGCCAAACACCTGCTCGAAAACTTAATATATTATCTACGCAAGTGAAAACTTTTAACAAAAATTTGATGTGTTGATGATGTATCAACATTTGCAGAAGAATTTGAATTTCTGTCTTAGATTATATAATCAAAATATGAAATGAATAATGACCTTCTCAGCGCGCAGGTTGGCATCCTTAGCTTCCTGTTCGCAGTTGAGAGCGCGGTCCATTGCGTTCTCCTTTTCCAGCTTCATCGCTTGCATTTTCTTTTTGATCGCGTCCATTTTGGTTGTGTTTGTGTTTTCTCACTTAGCCGGAATAAAACTGCAACAAAACGAAAAAAATTGTAGTACAGAGTTTTTAAAAAATAAGGTTTTAAGATCTAACATGTTAAGAAAATGCCAACTTTTTTTTATCAATGCAAACATACGCTTGCAGTCCGGTTAGTAACCAATAAAAAAATAGAATGGTAGCAATATATTCAGTAAATCCATCGGCAGTTTGGCATTATGGCATTTAAATGTTAGCTGAGAAAATTACGTAGTAACTAAACCTAAAATATTTTTTTTTCTTTGGTCTTCTGTTTACGGACAGCAGTGATTTGGCCAGTAGTACAGGTCCACGTTTTTGCTAGATACTATCGAAGTTTGGAGAGCACCCGCGGCATATCCAAAAAGAGCGCAACGTTGACTACGATCGGTTTTTCTACATTTAATCGTTTAATAATCTATAAATTTGCAAACTAAGAGCCTTTGTGAGCATTATTTTTATTCGTGTATTTAGATATCGCCAATATCATATTATTTAACTATAAAAGAATTATAGCCTTCTTCGAAAGACACTTGAAGACTGCATTTCAGGATTTTAAGTATACACTATAGTATATTCATAACTAGTCAACATCAAATATTACATTGCAAATTCATTTTGCAATGAATACTACGATCCATCGTGAATGCCTCATGGTATGTCAACCACCAAATTATATACAATGTTCAAAAAATCGAGACTGTATGTGAAACTATAAAAGGGTCAGCAATAAATATCACTCAAAGATTAATCAACACACAAATCGTAGTCTTGAGGAACATCCTGACCAGAGGACTAAAGAAACAGTGGCCAGAAAATCTCAATGAAACCAATTTATATTAATTTTATGTTAGTAACTACTTTTACATTGCACATATTATAAAGAGTCTTCTCATTGGAGAAGATCCGAAACGTGATAGTTTGTTAACTCTCGTTATAGAATAGCTTTTGCAGTTCTGATTGTCTGCAATGAAGAGAGACGAACAATTCATTTGCACTTGTTAATAATGAGCAAACGTCTTTTGAGATGTCTACTGCCTCAGCTAGTCAGCTATATGACGTCTCATTAACAGGCAATTTGACGATGCGAAATTGTGAACTTTTGACACCTTATCCAACACGGTGATCAATTTCAGAACATTTTCGGCATAGATAATACAATTGTATTTATTCTTACATATCTAATTTTCGACGGTTGTCAACAAAAAAGAAAAGTTACTGCATGCAATATTCAAAACCTCTGTGATTTCGACGCGCAACCTCCTTGATTTCCTTCTGTGATTCTGCAAGGATAGAATCGAAACCAAAAACAAGAATCGAATCACCGGCAAATTCTGCTCTTTTTGCATGTAATCAATACAAAATAAGGAGTAATATTGGACTGAAACATTTACAATAGCCATTTACGAAATTACTCAATAATACTGTAGAAATATAATAATTTCTTGCAAAGTGTAAATTGTACAATTCTTCTTGCAACCACTATGGCAGTAAAGTTAAGCATTTTCCGGTCTAGATCCGATCTGTCGAGTATTATCAATTGGAGATAATAAAGATCATGTAAATTGAAATAGAAAATTGAATAAATGCAGAAAAATTGGAGGAAAAAAAAATTCATTTTACATAGCAAAAATGATTATAACTTAAATGTAAAGTCCCGGTTTGGCCGGAACAGTCCCGGATTTCCATTTTGTGTACCGGGTTTTTCAAAAAGCAATATTTGTCCTGGGTTTAGATCTTTTGTCCCAGATTGGGTTTTCGAAAAGTATAGGCCTATATTGAATCTTCGCTCTTACTTGATAATAAAATTACAACTACCATTAATATATCTGAAAATGTTATGTACAACTAGTATGTTTATATAAAAAGGCGGGTAAAATAGCCTCTAAAATTCATAATTTTGAACTTATATTTGAAATTTTACGAAAATTAACAAAAATTATGAGAATGAACTTCTTGACTGCCTGGGATACCTAAGTGGAATCCTAATTATTTTTAAATAATTATGAAGAAAATTGAACAAAATTAAATAATAAGTTTGAAAGCTGTCGGATTTCTATTGCATTCTTAAATAATGTATGTTATTTTAAAATCATATTAAATTTTTCAATATGGAGCCTCCACCCGCCATGACTAAAAATTACCGTCCCAATTTTGACTTGAAATGTCATTAATAAAAACTTCAAAACTAATTTTATTAAATATTTTTCATTCTTTTATGAATTGCAAATTTCAGTTCATTTAATATTGCTAACAAAATTAAAAGCACACACGATTTGTCTTAATACAACACACCACCAACAGTTTTAATTAATAAACTACTGAACGGTGATATAGTATCTTATTCTGTGGAAAGCTGTGACAAGTCATACCGCTGTAATTGAATTTCTTTTAATAATAATTGTTCATTTTCAGGATATCAATTGTATTTATTTTGCAATTTTATAACATATGTTTGCGCATATTATAATGTAAATGTATATTAACAAATTACGAATTATCATATTGAGAACATTTTCTACTTTGTATGCAAAAAGCAAGTTGCGATAAGCGTAATGAATATTAGATGTGTAAATTTGCAAAGAATAATGTCATTTTGACTCAAATGTTCTCATTCTTAACATGTAGACTTTCGTCCTAAATACATATGTGCCTTTGAACGTTCGTTGTGGGTTAAGCTATAAAATGACTCAAATGGTTAAGAATTCGGACTATAACCAATAAAACCTATTTCCGAATTGAAAAAAAAATAGTTCAATTTTTGTGGTAAAATATTTAGAAATGAAGGCACGTAATTGTCTAGCAAACGTCTGATAGTAGAGTTTAGTTTTAAATTCATATTCCATTCAGATATCAATATCAAATACGTTTAGTTAATAGCATCAAGGTAATGTGATTGGAGTTAGTAATAATAAAGTAGTATTCCCAAGTAGCCATCGTATAATTCACCAAGTTCTGATTGTAATATATCATGAAAAATAAATAATGGGCATCAATTTCTGATAATTCTAAAATGTGTACAAATTTGATTAATTTGGGAAGTAATTTGAGAAGAAGAATAAAATTCCTAGGATATTGTACGTTGAAAGATAACCACGATACATTTTTGCTTACGGTGCCTTTGTATTACTTTTTTCTCAAAATATGAACATTCATTCTGCTTTTCCTAGTTGTAGTAAATAATAGTAAATGCTTACATGTGCAATGGGTATGTGATGAAAATCAAAAGATGCTAAAGACAATTTTCACCAGTTTTCGATCAAATTCTTTGCGATTAACACACAAGTCTGTACGCGTAATTGATATTCGAAAATGAAGGTCAATTGACCATAAGAGTTTGTATACAGATTAAATAAAATGACAATAAAATAAAACATCGCATATGTACCCGAGACACCACACCCGAGTCGGCGTCGCGCCGAGACTTTGGCTGGGCGAAATTCTTGAACGCGAGCCTTGCAAAAATATTGCAACAATGTCACTGAAAAGTATTACAATGTTAAGTCGTAAAGAAATATGTTCTTTTAAGTTTAAATTGATGATTCGTTCTGTTGATATTGTGATGAGACCTTGGTACATTGATGTACATGTCATGAAACCTAGAACTTTAAATGATAAGCCACAAACCGGAATGTTAAACAAACCGATGGATCGATCATTAATTATTGTTAACTGCTGCAATATCGACAATTATATCTTATCATATATAAACATGGAATTTTTTGCATGGATACATTTTGAATTGAAATAATTATCTATAGCTTCATTATCTGTTTAATAGAATATTTGCAATACTTGCACATTGCATATTTAAGCATCGGCATTGAATAGTATAAACACCCGTTTTTCTCGGTTTCTTGAGTATAAATATATAGGCTGATTATGCTGTAAAATAGACCAATGTTATGGCAAGTCTATGATACGTGACAGTTTTCATACAAAATCGTACTAAATACTGTAAAAATGCCATATATTTGCTGTACGATGAGGCTTCTTACACTTAAAATGCAACTTCACTAATATGTTATTAAACCATATCAAAGATCCAGTTATCATAACATTGTTTTCGACATTTATGCGTTTTCTATGTTTTCCATGGATTTTGACAGTATTTAGTATGATTTTGTATGAAAACTGCTACATAACATACCTTGCCATAACATTAATCTATTTTACGGCAGAATCGGCCCCATAATATGAATTTGAAATATTTTCATTTAAAATTTTTACCTTTACTGATATTTTCAAAGGTGTGTTTTTGAATTATACTAAATATAAAAATGTAATTTTGTGATTAGGTTTTTTAACAAATACTTTGCACACAAGTGAACATTTCGATATAGCCACCACAAAACTTGTTTATAGGATGCATAACGCCATTTATAAATTCTTCAAAAAAATAAAATATAAAATACATGTAAAAACTATTTTTTCGTTTATGCTAAAGATGAAAAATTAAACAATATTAAACATATACCAAATAATTGAATATTTTGTTCGTTTTGGTTAATTTCTACGACGGATAAATGCCTAATATTTGCTGGTCTTAAACAGCGAACTTTAGTTTTTATTTGTTTATTTGTAATAACAAAAGTTTTTATTTGTTTATTAACTTCCCGTAGGGTAAGTTATTGTAATGGGCCGAAAATCGAAATTGAAAATTTTTACATTTCTCGACGTTTTGAAGGTTTCTGAACATTTTGGCATACCTCAGAAAAAACTGGATGTGTGTGTGCGTGTGTGTGTGTATGTATGTATGGATACAAATTTCCAGTTTCCATTTACAATTTTTTTTTGTATATCAAAAATAATTCAGATTTTATTTTTAATTCTGACTATAGTTCTAATATACTTTAAACAAATAATTTCAACTTTGCAATTCAGTTTATATAATTCTTATAAATATTAAACAATGTTACAATATTAATAATAATCTATTTGAAAACATTCAGTATTCCTCGAACATTTCGTTACGGTACGGGAAGTTCCAGCAATTTGCCTTAAGGCACGATGCCATACACCCCATTAATTTGAATTTATAATTATATAGATATTATAAATTAGTTTATTTTGTAAATATTCCAATTAATTATTTTCATTTTCAAATTATTTCTGTTATAAATAAAATAGTTGTCTCAAGATAATTATCAAAATCGTATTGTTCTGCTTGTGAAACTATTGTGATAATTAATTTGTGATGAATTCCGAAATTTAAAATTAAACTCCATTCCGTTATTAATCTCGTCTTTCAGAATTCATTGTTTGTGCTCCATTTTTAAAACAATAAGTGATTCAATTATAAGTCCATGCATATATAAAATACCACAGATATTTAATTCAGATTAAACAAATTCTTAAAATGAATGGAAACAAGATACGCCTATCTTTCAAATTATTGCAATTATATGGAAAATTATGATGGTTAATAGAAAAGTTGATTAAGTCTACTTAGATATTAAATTAATATATTATAATTTAACCGCATCATAGTTTAATGATATAAAATTATTACACACTTTCTGCCTGTTAGATTCTTTTTTGTAAATATTACAAGATTTGTGAATATTTATAATAAGGAGTGAATGAAATCGATCAAATACGTCATCGTTCTGCAAATAAGTAATTATTGAAATTGAAAATAAAATATAGGTTCAACCGTAAAAAAAGAAATTTTAGCATCGATATGGAATTGCATTAAAATGAAAGATCGCGTGTTATTAATATGAATCGTGTTTAAATTGAAATATTTAATTATTTATATTGAATTGCGTTCATGAATTTTAATGCAATGAAAGGTTTAAAGAAATAGGAAAAATAAAGTATTCAGATAGACATTCGAGCATTGGTACCGTGTAATACTATTTTAACCAACAACGGAGTGAGTTTTAGATATACATATATGTATATACAAGATGCATATAAACGCAATATATTTAAGAAATTCAAGATAGATTTTAAATTTAATTTTAGCAATAAAACATTCCTCTAATACATTTGTACACTTTTGCAGTGTCCAATATAATGTCCAATTTATGTGCAAACCCACAAAGGTTAATTGACGTAACATATTTATTATTAACTTCCTAAAGCTTATGTTTTCGCCAGAAATTCCAATTTGCTATGTTTATGTTTTCTCGACGTTTCACGTCATTCTAAATCGTTAAACATCAAAATTGGAAAAAGTATGTGTCTGTATGGATATGAGCCAAAATTAGACGATTTATCGATTTCAAAGTTTTGAAAACCATTTAATCGACATGGATTAGTGTTGATTAATTTTGAGCTATGATTGGCCAAACCGTTTCTTTATAATTAGCAGATAAGTGCAAATTTTTCAATAACAATTTCATCAAAAATCCTAAATCGACTTTAAAAACCGAAATTTAAAAAGTGGTTCGCGAGATAACTGTTGAAAATTGCAAGTTTTTGGTAAAGATCAGCCGGGCTGTTTCTTTGTAACTAATTGTTAATTTTTTTTAAGACTTTAATAAAATTTGCATTGTAATAGATATATTGATTTAAATAAACATTTTTGAAATATTATATATTTACGACAAATGGTTTAATAACAAAAATTCATTAACATTTTGAATAAGGTAAATGCTTACTCGTAACAATTAAACATTTATTACTTTATCGTAAAATAATTTATAACATTTAAACTGTTTGTCAAATATAACTAGTATGTTAGGCAAATTTGTACAAAAATTAATAATCTGAAATAATTTCTAGCACTATAACAGTGGTTTCCAACCTTTTCGTATCCCCCCCCCATTATTTTTGAAACAATAATGTGTATTGTTTGCAGTGATTGTTTTCTAACAAACCATTTTTATAAATAAATGATAAGTTCAAATGATATAATTCATTTATCAAGCTACAAAAATAATTTAAAATATTATTAAAAATCATTTAAAATATTATCAAAAACCATTTAAAATGATTGAATAAATAATTGTATAAATTATTTATTCAATCATTTTTTATATCAGACTCTCTGAGCGGTTCTACACTTAAAACTCACTTAAATGATATATTGAATAGGTCGATAACAAATATTAATTCAATTAGAGCCAAATTCCATCTAGTTTCAATTTAATTTGATATAATGTATTTATTTGAAAATTATCTAAATATTACGTTGCAATAATTTTGTTAAAAAAATTTATATATATTTATTAATTTTGTCAAAGTTTAAAAGATATTTCAAACATAATAAGTATATTACTATTCCCATTCCAATGCCACAAATGAATAGAAAACATAACGCTATTTTCCGAAAATTATGTCTACATTTGCAGTTTTTAACTATCATCAGCTTATAATGTATTATAGTATAGTATCAAATCAAATAATATAAATATTTGGTTACTATCAAAAATACTCGATTTGAAAATATGTGTGCACGATAGTCTGCAGATAGACCGGAAAACATTTCTAATACTTAAAGTGATCTTCTTGTCTCCGTGTTTTGTTCTAAAATTAACCTCGTCAGGGCGATGCTGGTTTATTTAGATGCGCGTAATATATAGTAACATCTCGAATCGCTTTCAGCTTATGAAATTTGATACAAAACTAAATTTTTCGTAAAATTTAATTTTTTATTCAATAAAATAGATAGAATTATAATCGATACAAAAAAGTCTTAGTATTGAAAACTGATAGATGTCATATTAAGAGTATTTATATGAAAATTTGTAATATACAGAAATAAGCTTATCGCCATAAGAAGAATATTGGGCGAATAAATATTTATTATTTTTGTTTGAAGATATTTGGATGCGAATGGAATAACTATTCAGGTAAATCAATCAAATTTTCAATATTTATAATATTGGAATTCAGGTAATGTTTATTATCAGAATATAAAATATATGTAAATTCTAATTATAAACGTATGTATATGTATATCTATATATGTTTATATATATATATATATATATGTTTATATATATATATATATATATATATAAACATATATGTCATGATTAGATGTTAATAATATACGTAGTAACTATGTTTTACAAGAAGTCAGTAAATTTCTAAACAAAAAACATTTTGTATGTGAAAGAGCGTACATTATTTTTATCACATTTTTATTCAAATAAAAAAATACATTTTAAAGAAAAGACAGTTTAATTTGAACGAGTAAAATAAATACTAAAAAATCAAGTATTCGTTTTCATATGTTAAGTACATAATCTGCGAGCCTATTTATAAAATATATAAGAATTTACATATAAGATCTAAAAATAAGGTCGTTCGAAACTTATTAAAAATGACATTTTGTAATTTAATCCTCTTTATTAAATTTATATTTTATTCACTACTACCTAAAGGGGCATTGAGTAAATTGGGGACACAGCACTTTTGGTATTAAATTTAATTATGTCGTTAACTTTAAAGCTGTAAATTCTTTTTAATAAACTTTCACTAAAAAAATTTATATAAATTCAATAATATTTTTTTTTAGATTTATCTGAACCTGTATAAAATATAAATTAAGTTAAAAATATCTATTAGAATTATAAAAGTAGACATGACACTCTTAAAAGTATAGATTTAAATTTTAAATGCTCGTAAAAGTTTCAGCAAGGTTAAAAAAATTACAAGCATTTTATTTTTAAATTTGATTTTATAGAGTAGTTTAGGTTGTCAAATTTTATTCGTTGTATGCGATGAATGCTATAGCATTCACGTCAAGTATTACGTTTCTATTTTAAGCAATGCGCTTGCCCAAACTAATTTATGACTACGGCAAAATATAAAAAATACAAAAATACATAAAGAACTAAATTGTTAAGGTGATTTCTATAGTTAGATTCTCTATAGTTAGTCATTACCTTGACAGGTATAATAATTACAGAAACGTTAGGTTATATAAAATTAAATTCAAAATAATTGACTTTAAAATTTGAATACTATAGCATTCATGTCATTCTGCACCACAATGAAAATAAATGCTGTTGCTTTCACGTCCGTGTGATAAAGATATTTTAAAAAAGAAGCTCTTAAGCTTACTATAAGCAAAATCGAAGACTTAATTCAAATATTTTCGACATATCAGTTATCACTATTTGAAAATTAGTCAAATCACTGTTATTCTTTTTGCATTCCTGATCCCTTCCGCTTTCAATACTAGAATATAACATGGTCAAATCGATAAAACACGGAATTTTAAATACACGCATCGTTGGAAATTTAAATATAAAAATCCACGAAAAAACGTATGGTTAATAAAAAATAGTATTAATTAAGATATAAAAAATCACAATTGGTACTTACAGGAAATCGCTGTAGCGTACGCGGGCCGAAGACGGACTGTGCTTTGGTCCTTTCTGCGGCACAATCAGAACACGACTTGCCAAGAATAGATTAGCCAACTCCGCCTCATGGGATGGTAAGGGTAAAACTTTCTGTCCCCACTTCACATACACCTATGAATTTAAATTAATATATATATATATATATATATATATATATATATACACACATGTATGTATACATATTTACACATATATTTATATACCTTTATATTTTATATATAGATCTATAAGATATCACGTATAAGACCTGTACGAAAATTGCATATCTGCTTTCAATATACAAATACCTCAGATTACTCTCCTAGATTTGTTATCCATTCATTCCATGAATGTTAAATTAATGACACTATGATCTAATATTTTTATCAATATGTTTATAATGATTGAATAATAATAATGTGGGAAGCATGGCATCGTGCCTTAAGGCAAATTGCTGGAACTTCCCGTACCAAAAATTATTTTTTTTTAAAAAGAATAAAATTTTTGAAAAAAACTTACTCTGAAAAAATTTGATTTTTGAGAAACTATACATTTTTGACAAAAATTTATTTTTTTTTGAAAAAAAAAAAACTTTTTGAAGAAAAATTTATTTTGAAATATTTTGAAAATTCTGATTTTTTTTCAAAGCAATCGTACTGCTTTAACTGCATAGAGACAAAATATAGAAGCGCGTAAGCGCCGCGTTGCCGTCTAACGGATATTAAACATTGTTACGAAACCCATAGGAATGTAAACAAAATTTATATTTATATTGTTAAAATCTCTATAAAATATCTGATAATTTGATGTGCATACATCTAATGATCATTTTTGACCGCCAAATGGCATTTTTTTACTTTTTTTACTAGATCTCCAAAACCGCTAGACCTGCCTTCATGAAAATTTGATCAGTTCTTCATCTTGTTAATACAACTAAAATGTTTTGAATTATTCAAATCGGACGCTCCGTTCTCTTAAAAACTGAGTTACTGTTTTTGGCACTTTTTGCCCCATATCTTCGGATCGGCTAGACCTGCGTCCGCCAAAAACTAATCAGCACGTCTCCTTATCAATACGTATCGAATGTTTTTTTAATTATTCAAATCGCTTCATCCGTGTTCCTGAAATAGTCGACGAAAATTTGTATACATAACACACACATAACATACGTCCATTTCTTCTAAGGTTTGCCGAAATGTTCAGAAGGTTTTGAAACGTAAAGATATATACAAATTTTCCTTTTTGTTTTTTTGCGATTACTATAACTTGCCCTACGGGAAGTTAAAAAATATTTAATCTAACAGTATTACTCTTGATTTGTTTTATAATTCGCAAATGATAAAGCAATATTATAAGTAAAAGTAATATTTTACTTAAACTAAAATAAGTCGTTAAATAGAATTCATAAGATAACTGCTAATAATAATGGTTTTTAAATATTTTATTGGTAATTGGAAACTAACAGCGGGTTACTTCAGAAAAATGAAAATATTAAAAATAACGTTTTGTACATATTAAAACAATTTTTAATTATCATAATTAGCGAAATAAATAGGAATAACTTCATAAATTATTACATATAAATGAATAAATGATTGGATACATAGAAACTATTCTATTGACCAAATTACTAATTAACTATCTTGCTAAGGTGATTAATCAATTTCTTTTCAAAAGAAATTTCTTTTCAAAAGAAATTTCTTTTCAATAATAATTGAATTGAATTAGAATTCTATAAAAATAATTTGACAAATGTATCTAAATCGTAGGGGGTTGTTATAATCAAATTTCTTTCGATAAATAACATTTAGGGTTTAACCCTTTCGACTCGGATGCCGCCGAGTAATATGGGTATTTTAGTCAGTTTGTAGAGATCAAAATGCTTGATTTTAAAATTTATGAATACAAATTATTATTTTTATTTAAATTATCAATTTTTGTATAATTTATTTATATAAGATTAATCTTATATTATTAAATAATAAATTATACAAAAATTGATAATTTAAATAAAAATAATAATTTGTATTCATAAATAATTATTATTATTAATATGATATCTTGATTTTTACTATTTAGTTAAAATACTGAAGCTAAAAATTATTGCTACCTCTGATAAATTGCGATTCAAAAATAAAGTAAAACCTTATATAAAATTCACTTCACGTCTAACCCAGATTTTTCGTACAGAAATGCGAATATCGGTCAAGATATATGATATTAGCTGTTTTCATCAATCCCAGCTCAGTTTTCGCCAAATTTCCAGAAAAAAATCACTAACCACAAATTCTCAAGATTTTGTGATTTTTATATATATCTATATAATATAATATAGAATGTAATCTATTTCATTCTATATTTGTGGAATGTATTCAATTTCACAAATATGCACGTATTCACAAAATTTACACACACGATGGGAAAAATGCTTGATTCAAAATACGAGAGTGTAACAGAATTTTTGGTTTTTCTCGTTTGTACATATATACTCATATACACACATATATGTATGCATACGAATGAATATTCATAAATTTGAAGAACGTGTTTTTTAGTGTGTGTGTCGAGTAGTAATGTATGTATGACGTATGTTCAGATGCAATTTTTGGTCGCGTCAGAAAAAATGTCCCAAACGATTCAAATGTTTTAAAAAACATTTAATTCAAAAACAACAAAATTTATTTTGAAGATGTGACGAGTTGATTTGTTTTTGAGAAAAATGCAGGTTGTATGATTTTGGAGATATAGAGAAAAAAAATGCAAATCTTAGTATTTGGTGGTGAAAAATGATAATTTGACTTGAGTTTTAATATTATTTTTACTTATAAAAGTAAATATTGCAACTGGTATACGTTTATATAGCATCATTATTAAAACAACACGAACTTATAAAAATTTTAATCTCATACAAATCCAGCCATTCGCTGCCTAATCCACCAAGAATGCTCAAAAAGACCTGGCTGCCGCGCCACTGATCTAACGCATGTTCCCAATCTGAATCAGTCTATTTATATGACGATTTTTTCACATTTATTTCCTTTTTATTTTATTTGTTTGATTTTATATCCGTTTATTATTGTATTTAACTTTTCTTTCGTTTTTACGAAACTTGTACTTAAGAAACTTTTTTGTCTAATGAAATATATTGCTGTTTGTAAGATTTCATTTTTTCTCAGAGCTGATCCTTACGATTTAGGTTTTGTTTAATTTTTTTTTTAATTTTGGAAAAATGTTCGCATTCAAAACTTTTGAAATTATAAGCAATCTATGTTGGTCTATTTTTCTCATCACTATTAAATAATCAAATACAGAAATTTAATTTTATTGTTTTAAAGCCTTCGACCGTTAAATGGTGTTTTAATATTTCTAAATAAACATTATATAGACGCTGACTATCTTGTGCAACTTCGATAACATTACCCCGGAAAAGTTCTCAATGGTTTATGTTCATTTTATAATATACTTTTATGATGTACTCATTTTTAACTTCCACAAGAAGGAATCAATGCAGTTATAGATTGGCCGAGTCGTTTATTCAGAATTAAAAAGTTCGGTAAAGTTCATGCTCTAACACTAAACAAACATCCTAAAATAATAAAACCCTACAAAAAGTGGCTGAATTAATAAATATGATTAACACGTTCACGCCGGGGCCGATTTCGGCATGTTTTCTGTGAAGCTGCACGTGGTATTGCCTTCGAAATGCGGGTCACCGGTGGCCCACGCCGGCGTGAATGTGTTTATGCACAGCTATAATTCATATAAGAATTATAGATATTATGAGCCTGTTTGAAATTGGGATATCAATTGCAAATTGCATTAATTCGTTTTTAGTGAAAGCGTAAACATCGTTTTCAAAATGCAATAGTTGAAAATTTTATCTAAATAGCTAAATAAATTGATCTTATCCAATCGACATATATTCATGCAACTTGCATTAAGACAAAATACTACTTACACATAGCTGTAGTTGTTTTGAATTTAGATAATAAAATATTCACTGACAAGATAAATTTTGAATTCACACCTTAATTTTTTGTGAGTGACTCACATACGTTGATAACTGTAGCATAAAATTTTTCAAATTCTCTTCATAATATGATAAATATTTTATCTGCCATTTGATTGCAGACACTATAATTTATTTGTTGTTCAATTGCAGAACATAACTTATAATATCAATTAATCAGTTTCATTTAATTATTTGAATAATTGAAATGAAATTTAATAAACTAATTGTGCCAATTAGCTCTCGATAGGAACCAACGTTGCTTTTTGTATATCTAATATATGACATTTAAATTTGATTGCAGGCATTTCAAAATTTATCAATGTTTCTTACAAGCAAATGTAGGAAGATTGAAATGTAAATATTTATATAATAGACAAAAGTAAACCCAAGGTTTAATGAGTTTAAGAAAAATGCCATTGCTCCAGTTTGACTCCTCTTCAGTGGATAAAATACACAAATTATTTGAAAATACAAAAACCACAATTTAATGATTAAAAAAATATTGCCATCATCCCAAATAAATGTATATATTTGGCTTAAGTTTAATTTTAGAAATCAAATATACTTTTATTTCATAAATATGGCTCTTAATGAAGATTTAAATTCATTGATTGTGGTTTCTGTGTTTACCAGTTTAACAACTGAATTGATTATTATTAGTTATTGCTATTCATCTTGAAGAAATACATCTGTAAAAAAGCTGCTACTGAATCATTTCCAAATATTTCAGATACTTATTTTATTAAATAAATTTGTTTTACATATAATATGTACATATAATATGAATTTCTTCAGTGATGAATTACATGAATTGAGCCATTGGATCATCTTCCCTTCTGCGTTTCATGTAATAAGCCTCCATTTCCTCAGATGTTGGTTCTTGTACAACTGCCATACTATTATATGATCGTTTCCTCTCATCCATTGTCAAAAGTTCTTCAGCCTTTTTAATGTTTAATTCCTCTCGCTGCAAAGCTTCTTTTAATTTATCCATTTTCGATTTTTCGAGTTTTTCTATTTTTTTCAATTTTTTCTTTTCTTTCTGTTTCTTCTTCTTACTTTTCTTCTTTTTCTTTTCAGTTTTCGATGCTTTATATTCCTCTTCTGAACTATGTGAAGATGATGATTCGGAATCACTTTGTTCCTTTGATTTTTCAATCACATCTTCTATTACTTCAGAAGTTGGTACTTCAGGTATTTTAAAAGTATTATCTGGTTTTATGTCATTATTGCACATAGATTTTCCGGATTCTCCAACACAATATGAGTTTTTAATAAATGAATGACAACACTTGTAACCCCATAGATGATTGCTCCAGTAAGAACCCCATACTGATGTATGATTATTTATTAAAGCATCCTCCTCATACTTCGTTCTAATAATTTTCTTTTCTTGGCCTTTAATTACATCTCCATATCTGGAGTATTCAACATACTCTTCTGTTTGAGCAAGTAATAGGCTCTTCGGAGGCACTTTTAAATGCTCTTCACCTCCATATCTTTCTAAAACTGAATCTTTGACTAAAGATTTTATTTGATCTTTCTTCTTTTCATACTCTTGTTGTAATAATTCTAATTTTGTTGGTTCAGCTAACAAATGTACATCAACACCACTACCATAAGCTTCCCAGGCAAAGCACTGTGCTACTGCATGCTTCTGTGTGTCGCCTGTGAAACGTACAAAGTTTTCTCCAACAAAGTCTGATTCATCTGCATTGGGATTTGGATTGTCACGCATAGATCGAGTCTTTGGATCATAATAAGCTGAATTTGGATCCAAATTTCTAAGATATTTTGCTGTATCCTCCCGAATACGTAAGTTTCTTACTGTAATACGTTGCTTGGAATCCACTTTAGTTCCAGGCATATCTACTTCATCAACATATTTATCTTCATCCCCTTGTTCATCTTCTGAATCTGATTGTGAAGCGTTAGGATCTTGTTTTAATTTCTCAGCTCGTAACTGACGTTTGGCTTCTTCTATTTTTTGGTATTCTTCAATAATAGCTTTATGCTGTGAAGGGTCATACCCACTCCATCTATCTCGTTTACCGTCATAATCTACTACCAATTCCGGTTGAACAAATTCATCTGGAGCAATCTGCGCACCAGTAAATTTAGCCCCAACTTTTCGAGGTCTTTCCATACAATCTTTTTTCTTATGTGTCATTGCACCACAGTTTTCACAAGCGCCTTTTCTATATTTTGCGACGATCTTAGAAGTGTCAACTCCTCGTTTATACCATTCATCTAACCCCGATAACTTCTTCTTTTCCTCTTGGGGACGTTGATGCTTTAAAGTGGGGCCACTTGTTCCATAATACCATGGCGCTGAACTAATATATTGCGGTATATGGGGGTTAATATCGCGGCCTTGTTCGTCAACGGCAGCTGGCGCTGTACCTGCTTTTCTTGCTTCTTCTAGTTCTTTCAGTTTACGCCAATCTTCGCGAGACTTCTTTTTCGGTTCATCTTCAATGACATCAGATCTGTCTCTAAGCAATTGGGACACAGTAGCCCCAGTACTTCTACTAACCATTTTGATATTATTTTGCACAAGCACGCGTATAATGAATATAACTCAATACTAAAATTTAGATATTATAATGCAATTTAATAATTGATACAAAAATAAAAGTAGACTCATTTCTCAAAACCTACACACAAAGATAGACTTTTAGTTTTAGCGAATTTGACATTTCTACGCACACGAGCAAACTTACTTCAGATTATTTACATATAGACAGACACACCAACATAAAACAGTAACATCTAAATAATAACGTTTCTCTGATTTATGAATCTCTTGAATGTTTATTATCATCTTATACTCTTCTTTTATCTATGATCTTATGATTATCATTTTCTCGTCAACTAATAAAGAATAATTATTTGTTCATTCTGATTAATCTTATTTATCTATGACAAGTGCCTCCAACAATTCAACGCTGGCAACGTTAAAAACCAAATGTTAAAGAGGCATGAAGTTCGATCCTTTCAAATGTCACTTGAATATGGTTTGCAGCAGTGTCAAATTATTGTTTTTATATGCTCTTTTATTATCAGCCATCAATTTTGCAAAGATTCTATTTATATTATTCAAACAATACTTATTTTTTATCCATCTATCTTGAAATCACCGTTAAAAAACAAGAAACTTGGTCATAGTACAATTTTTTAACCTATTACTATACTGCCTGTTTTAGGTGTTAAGGAAAGCACAAAGTTTCTACAATATTTCTAAATGCGCAAATGAGGGGTATCAACATGAAACAATATTTTGTTAATGTACTTCGGCAGTTCCAGTTTTTTTCTATTTTTTTCTATTTCTAGTTTTATACCATCACAAATTTCCTATGTTATTCTCAATTTGATGCTGCGTTTAGAAGTGTATATTTAATGGATTTTTTGCCGACAGAAGAATCTCAAGACATTAATCAACTTTAAAACCCGAACAATATATAATATTATCTTGCTTCAAACAATCTGTCATACTTTTACAAATGTTTTTGTTTTCAAAGAAGTATTAAATAATTGTATTCTGTGGCTTAAGGGCTTTCTCTTTCTAAGGCTTTTCTCTGAAATGAGTCCTGTATGTGAATAAACAAATATAAACAATATTTGTTTATAACAGAAAACCTACTCGGCCAGGTTTATATCATCACTACACCCAATATTGTCCTAAAATTACAAAGCCAATACAAGCATTTCTGTAATGTAATAGTACAAGCAATTATTTTATCTCATTCTTCTTTTCAAAGCCAGAACATAACATTAATAACCAAAACTCCTCTCAAACTTATCACGTCATTGTCGAAAAAAATGTTTTTTTCTCAAATTAAATCTCTATTGACCCGCATAAAATTAGGCTTCTGGCATAATTCAGTAAATTATAGAAAGCAATTCTATAAAGTCTTTAAAAATGCATCCAATTTTTATCGTAATACATTCATAAATGTATTTGAATAGATGGAACTAATTGTGGTAATATAATAATACTTTGATATAACTTCAAATACTTATTGTGGGTTACTGGGATAAGTATTGAATTTAATACATTTTGAAAAATATAAGAAGTTAAAAAAACTTATGAACTTAAACTAAAAGTTTACCATCAAGAAAGTGAAACAAAAACTGAATTTTTGAACAAGACAGAGTTAGCAATGTCATCATAGTCTCGATTTGTGTTATTTAAAACTCAAGGCTTATCTGTTATATCCTTTAAAGCCTTTATTAAAATTTTCTTTAGTCGTAATGCCATTTTGCCAGTTTTCGTACTTGAATATTTATATAAACAAATCGATTCCCATCGATACCCTCAGCACTACTTGAGTATACCAAATTAAAGGATATATGTGACAATAAAATGAATTTTTAAAAAAATGACTCAAATTAAAATTCTCAATATATATTCTAAAGAAAATAAATAAACAACAATTTAGTATATGGAAATCGTCGATGTCATAGATAAATAAACATAAAATGATCGGTGTTTAGAATTACAAAAAAAATACCATAATTACGTCACATATACAGTAATTTCCAAACTTATTCACATGATAAAAATCAATAAATTTAACTTTATTTTATCATAGTTGAAAATAAAAACAAAAACATTTTAATCTAACCTTTTGTTATTGCGTGTCTCACGTAATACTGATGCTGCAAATGGGTGAACATAATTACGACAAAAATTAAATTGTCAATTTCTCGAGAAATAGTTTTATAAAAAGTTCATTTCGCTACACAACTTATTGCTTATTAACTAATAATTTTACTAATTTAAATAAACTTACAGTTAGCGGCGAGTGTGGCTTAGAAGTTAAGCACTCAACTCGCCTGTGCCGAAGTACTTGGATGGAATAAATTGATATGGACTTAAAAAATTGTCCCTGAAATAATAATAATTAGCAAAACAAACTTACCAGTAGGGTATTACATAACATCCTTTAAAAAAAAAACTACCGAACTACCACTGTACCGCCTTAAACTGATAGATAAGTAAACACCCTAGTAAACACTGACCGTACACTGACCACTGATGAATACGAAGTGATTATGACTTAGGCGCTCGTGAAAGGTTCGGCCAGGTTCGGCACTGATTCGGAAAGGGTTAAAAATGATTATTTATCATAATAGATATGTTTTTGTATTAAATGATGATATTGTATATATTTTGCAACAAAAATAAAATTACCACAAATTCCCAATTCAAAATAAAATTACCCGACATCTATGCGACATACACATCATTACAACAGTTTACATTTTGAAGAAAAGTTAAATTTTCAAATATTAATTATTTACAAGTAATTTTCACATAAAGGATAATTATATAAAATTATAGATATTTTTTGCTTTCTCGACTCACACACGCGTACTTTTTTCAATTTTAATCTCAAACGATTCAGAATGACTTCCAATGTCGAGAAAAACATAAAATTACCAAGATTTTTTTAACTTTTTAATTTTACATTAATCTTTCAATTACGTGCCGTACTTATATGATGTAAGCAAAACATACCTAACAAAGTTAATAAAATGAATATAATTATCACTCGGAGTTATATACATATATAATTTGGATAACATCTATCGTTGAAAGATTGTTTGAACAATAAATGATTAAAAACTATAAAATAAATATAAACTGTTCTAGGCTTTTCTGTTTTAGGTTTTAATCAGTTTGACTCTTATTTTCTATGCAATACTAACAAATCTTAACGTTAGAGAGTAATTGTGCATTACGAATGTATAATACGATAATATAAAGTTCTTAATTCAATCTTGATTGCTATTAATATAATTAATTCACCTTTTGAATTTGTTAAAATATTTTGCACTTAAGATGTTTTCAAATAGATCTGTATGTATATATATATGGAGCTGCCTTCGGGCAGACCATTATTTATTAGTATTATATATATATATATATATATATATATATATCATTGCACATTTATTTTTTCATCTATTAAGACTAATAGCTATAAACCACAAATTAAAAGTTAGTAAAAACATTTGCATTACAATTGCATGAATATATATTTTCTACAAAGTTAGAAATACACATCAAAATTCTATAACTTTATTAATTTTTCTACTACAACTGCAACAATTTCTAATTCAGAATCATATAAACATATAATTTTAAATACCCTAACGAGTATCAAATATACTGCCATAAATATATAAATTATAATAAATTATTTACTAAATCTTTACAAAGTCATAATAGAGGCATGAAAACTTTATATAAGACACTATCTAATAAATAAAACGCCTTTCCAATATTATTGAAATGAATATTTTCAAATATAGTGTCTGAACAGTACAAATCAAAGTATAAGTAAATAAATTGAGTACGAAATATATTATCAATAATTAAAAAATTAACACAGGTTGTTAAAGAATAAAAAACACAATTCAAAATTTTAGTTCAAAAACAATGAGTATGAGATCATTTACTTGAAACCAAAAATCAAGAAAATAAGATTATTCAGTCATAAATTTCTATATGTTACATGTTTCCATGAAATAATTTACATAAATAAAAATGATTTGTATTATGAAACCTAATATAGAAAATCGACAAACATTTATCTATAACACAAAATAATTTGAAGCTAGAATATTGCGTGACACTACAAAAAAATTCAGTGTCTTCAAATTAATATTACATATCATGTATGTAATTTTATAAGTAAACATATTAGATATTTTATATATATAATTTTGTGAAATATGTATATGTAAAATAAATAGTTAATGTACATTGTTATATCTTTTTAATCATATACTAAATATCTGATTCTATAGATGTGTGTAAATAATTTATAAATTGACCTTATACAAAAAATTGGTACTCTACAAAGTGTTATTATTAAATAATAATCACATTATAGTCTATGGACTGAAAAATCACAGGTTTCCGCATACGCTCAGCATAATAAAATATGCTATTATATATTTATGTACAAATTTCGTCTGTAATAATATTCTGTGATTAAATTATTGGTTCTGTACATAAATTTAAATTTATTCTCTGTATTATATCTCTCATGTTCTTTGTCATGAACTAGCAAAAAATTCCTGTAATCGCTGTACTGTACTTCTATCAAGCGTACACAAATCAAAGTCAAATGTTTTCTTTGTAATTTCAAATTGGCCAGTCTCAACTACCATTTGAACAATGTCTTGAATCTCAGTGTTGTCTTGCAATGTCATTATTTTATGTTGTAATTCTTTCAACTCAGACATGTAATCAGGAGTGAATGCCTTCTCTTCAGGTAATGGACTGCAGGGTACATCAGCCGATTCACTCATTTCAATAGAGACTGACTCATTGTCTAAGTGGATTTGTTCATTATTCTCATTAGCATCTAAACTTTCTGTATCCATATCAGAATTAACATCTTCTTCCATCTTTTGAATCTTTGCTGATGGCTGCAAGGACATTTTGGACTTATCAATGTAATCCTCTTTGCTTTTCCTTTTCTTGCGTTTATCATCTTTCTCAAAACATTTAGTTTTTTCCTTATGCTTTTTCACAGCCTTCTCTTTCTGTTTATCCATACTATTAAAATGTGACTCGTTTAGAGGACTACTAATTATCGGCTCAGGCTTAGGTTTGATTGGTTCCTCAACAGATTTTACAGACTCTTCTGAATCACTGCTAATTTGATCACTTAAATTTTCTATTGTATTTGTTTCATGAACATTTTCATTGTCTATCTTCATGACCACATCATCTGCATTGACAGAATCATTTTCTTCCCTGGTTTTACTTGCAAAATTCCTTTCATTTTTGTTTCTTTTCTCTTTATCTATTTTAGAATCATCTTTTCTAGTCTTATCCTTTTTCTTATGTTTATGTCTTTTATCCAATTCTTTTTTATCTTGACCTTTAGTTTCTTGCAATTTAGGATCAAGATCTAATTTTGGAACATCATTCATTTTCAACGGAACTAATTTTTCTTTTTCCCTAGGCTTTTCTTTAATCATAGTATCTCGCAAGGCATTATCTTTGTCTTTGATTACAGATTTTTGATCTACTTTAATTTCCTTGGATGATTCCTTTTCCCTCTCTCTGTCCTTTTTATGGTCCTTTTTGTCTCTATCATGGCCCTTTTTATCTTTCTTTATTTTGCGCTCTTTTATATCATTGGTCTTTTTCAAATCATCAATCTTAATTTTTTGTTGTTCCAAATCAGAACGACTGACAGAAGAATTGGACAGAGATGGGCTTATATGCTTTGGACTTTTTGGTCTTGGGCTTATAGCCGATTTATTTACTTTCTCTTTGCTTCTATCTCTATCCTTGCTATGTGCTTTCTTCTTATCTTCTCTAACTTTATCTTGTGTATCTTTACTCTTTAAATTATCTTTTTCTTTTGACGGACTCAGTTTTGATTTTGATTTATCCAGTTTTTCTTTCAAAGCCCTATCATCTTTTTTCAAAGAAGGATTTGTACTGGATTTAGGTGGAATTGGAGATGTTTTCTTAGGATCAGGCGAGGCCTTAGATCCTGTGCTTATTGGTGTTCCGAATAAATGTGCAAAGCTAGACAATTTTGGTTCTTCAGATCTATGATCTTTAGGTTTGTGCTTTTTCAGCATATCAGCTCCTGATTTTGGCTTGCCAGTAAGTTGCAACTTATTATCACACTCCTTATTTTTATCAGTTTCTATACTACTATTTACAAGAATACCACCACCTCTCAAGAGTCTTTTTTTAAATTCTTCAGAAGGGTTATGAAAAACATATTTTTCTTTTTGTACTTTTGTTATGGCAGGCCCATCATTTTGTAAATTCAAATCATATTTAAACTGAATTTTTTTAGGCTCTTCTTTATTTCTCAAATATATATCAATAGGTATTTCAAATCCTGCATAACCTGACTCCTTCAAAGTATATGGAGGTTCCTTAATCGCTAAAATACAAGAAAAAATATTTATATAAAAGCATAAAGTTCATTTTTATCACATTATTCTGTTCATATATATAAAAAATCTTTCTTTTAAGAAATTAGTTTAAGCCTATTTTATATATACACTCTTAATAACATAGCTCTGTGAATTAGTAAAACAACAATAGAAATTTTAAAGATAAACAGAATGAAAAAAACAATCATTATCTACCAGAAATTAATAAATTTAATTAGCAAAGAAACTGAGAAATGGCCCCGTTGGAATACCAAAAATCTGAGCAAAATTTCTCAAAAAATACAAAGGATTAGGTAAAATAAATAGGTAGTTTATGCTTAAACTGAATAAATGTATGAGGTGGTACATTGCTCCAATAATGAGAAACTACATCAAAACCAAGTCCCGTGGAACATCAATGAACGAACAAACATCAAAACATTAACGACAATATTTTATATATGTTTATATTAATATTATAAACAAAAGCCATAAAATCAGAATTGTTCTGTTAAGTAATTGAAGACGATATTGAATTTGTGATATTTTTTTCCTCAATGTTTACAAAATATGAATAAACAGATCAAAGGTAAGAACTATTCTGCATTTAAATTTACAAGGACGCGTAAAGAAGCATCAAATATTTACATGTAATGTTAAAGTTACATTTTATAAATTAAGTTCATGTTTAAATTATGGAATGTAGAATATTTGTAGAAATTCATTATATTATATATAAGCATAAAGTTTCAAGTCTTGGATTGTAAGTCTTTATGTAATCAATTTAAATAAGAAATTTTAGTTAGGATGAATGGAATATGGCTAATTATAAAGAGTTTTATTAAAGAAATGCAATGAGTTACTCCATTTTAAATATAGTTTGAATTTGCATTATATATATATATATGAATATATATATATATATATATATATATATATATATATAAACCTAACACAAATATTTGAATCCAAATATTTAGTTTGTTAATCTCTATACAAACTGAAATTCATTTTAACTACTTCAATGCTTATACTACATTAAGCTATGAATTTGGAAAATGACAAACTATTCACCAAAAACATGATTACAACTGTAAGTAAATTAAAATATAAAATATAGACTTCATATTAGCAAAGCATACTTCTTTTGGTTTAGCAAATGTTTCATGTAGCTGAAATACAACTCGTTCAATAAAGTGTTGTGCATCTCCATCACAACATCTTATAAAAATTTCCCAATCATGTGTGAAACCTTCGAGGGTGCGTTTACTTCGAATTGAGGCCTCGTGGCCTATTTCAAAATTCACTCTCACTGACATTGTATTAACTAAAATTTATGCCATCTGAAATACAAAGGAGTTAATAAATAAATAAATAAATAAATAAATAAATAAATATATATATATATATATATATATATGTATATATATATATATATATATATATATGTATATATACATATATATATAAGTTTATCTGGAGGAGGCTAGTTATAGATGATTTAATAAACATTCTTAATCTTTATAGAACTTCATTTTTATGAAACTGATAAAATTCCTACAATTTTTTATGTTAACCCTAAAAACTATTATCAATTAAAATTACTCCACAAATTTGGAACAAATACAAAACAAATAAGACACAGTATTTCTGACATTTAAAAATAATAAAATCTTGATATTGAAGCATCATATAATCAACTGATTAAAATATCACGAACTATTGAACCAGTTAATTATATATCATCTGATTGATCTACTTCTATATCTTATATTTTCTTATTTATATATAAAACATATTTATATTTGTTTACATGTTAAAGCAACATTCATTGATCCATTATAAATATTATGATACACTTTTATTCGAAATCAGGCCAATAAATATTTCAATCAACAAAAATATACGCACTATTAGCACAAAAACTATAATAAGCAAGTTTATGCAAAGGTCGTCACAAATCAAAATTAATATTGAATTTGAAGATGAAATTATAGTACATACCTTAAATGCATGATACGTAAAATGTAATTTGTTTATTTTATGTCGATAAGCCCTCCATTTCTAGTATTACACTCACATCACGTATGCATCAACCCGACGAAAAATAGAAAAATGAAAAATATACTAAACAGCAAAAAAATAATTACATAAAGAAATCAAATAAAACACTTTTCTTATTACATTGCAATATTTAATGCGTCAACAGGTAAAAATATTGAACACTCGAATTGAGAAATATATTTTCTCGTACACCATGACAATATCTTGCCATACAACGCCGTCAAGTTGTAACTATGCGTACTAATTGTAAGCAATATTGAAAGACACGAAAATAAACACGAATTTCGATTTTGTCACAAAGGGAACAGATTTTTATCGAAAAAATCAATTGTCTTAATCCCAAACTCGTAAAATCTATAAGTATTATCTCATTTAAATAAACTATGATAATGAACCGAACATCTTTATCGGCATTATAATCTATGATTGAAAATATTGATTACGCAGTAGAAATCTAGATTAATTAATGCGATGCAAACGCTTCATTCTTTAATTTCGTGAAAATGTCTCGACTATTCTTTATGTGAAATTCATTGAAATAATTTCATCAAAAACTTTCACGCCGAAAATGGAAATTATTAACACACTTTAGATTTATATAAACTGTAAATAACAAAAATAATAAAAATGCGAAACCTGTACAATTTCTAACAGTTCTAGCTTTGTTTTCATTTGTTTTATAACTTTACAATTTAAATAATTTGACAAGAATTTGAAAACAGAAAGATTTATTGTTGAGTAAAGAATAACATTCAAAGGTCATATTTTCTAATAAAATTATACTGCCATCTTTAATTAGAAAATTGCATATTAGTTTACAATATTTTTAATCCCTTAAATCTGTTCAATCAGTTTTCTAAAATTCTGTTCATAATATTCACACTGAAATTAAACTGAAGAAATCTTTTACATGCATATTAACATTTATTCCGAATATATTCGAATATATTTCAACGATATTCATTAATTTCAATTTAATGTAGTATTTAGGTACATTAAAATAATTATTAAACTCATAGATAAAAGAAGAGTGATTAAACTCTAGTTGCTTTAGGGTAAATTGCTGGAATTTTCCGTATTGTAATGAAATATTACAATACAATTAATATTAGAGGATAATTATAATAATATATAAATAATTAATAAATATTTTCAAATAGATTATTATAAATAATGTATTATATATGTTTACAGAAAAGTAAATAAACAAAACTCGATCAGAAGGACCAAGGACTTTGTCTATAGACAATGTTATTAATATTTATAAGAATTACATAAACTAAATTGCAAAGTTAAAACTATTTATTTAAAGTAATTGAAAATATAATTGAGCTTTAGAACTTTAGCTAAATAAAAAAATCGAATTATTTTCGATATTCAAATAAAAGTTATAATTAATTTTTTTTTACCTCAAAATCATTCGTTTCGTCAACACAAGCAGAAAGTTTTTTTAATCATTCAAATCGAATGCTTTGTTCTCTTAAAAACTGCCATTTTTTGCACATTTAGCTCGGTATCTCCGAAACGGCTAGACCTGCTTTTGTCAAAAACTCCTCCCTGTCATTACAAATTGAATGATTTTCAGATTATTCGAATCGGATGCTCCGTTCTCTCAAAAATTCAATTTCTATTTTCTGCACTCTTTGCTCAGTATCTCCAAAACGGTTGGACCTGCATTTGCCAAAAACTAATCAGCACATCTCCCTATCAATAGGAATCGAATGTTTTTTGAATCATTCAAATTGGTTAATTCGTGCGCTCGAAATCGTGGACGAAAAATTGTATTCATACATACATACACACACACATCCATTTTTTCTAATGTATGCCAAAATATTCAGAAACCTTCAAAACGTCAAGATACGCAAAAATTTTCATTTTCGATTTTTTTGCGTTTACTATAACTTATCCTACGGGAAGTTAATAATAACTTAATATACTTTTGATAATACATTACCGCAGTTCACATAAAAAATGATATTTAACCTATCCATAAATAATTTCTGAATAATTTTTTAGGCAGGACTTTCTAGATAGACAGACACAACTTAATACAATATTATATGTTGTGGTTGTTATAATATATATTCTAACAAAAAATAACTTTTTGTTAAAATTGAACAGCATTATAATACAGGTATATAAATCCATATATATCCCCTTTATTTGGCCTTACATCATCAAATTATCTTTCTTGAGCGAGTAACACTTATGTACATTTGTGTATATTATTTGTAGAAATCAAAATATGTACATTATTATATTGTAATTGTACAACAAAAAATATGTAAGTATAAATGTTTGTATATATAAATTTAAAACTACTTATATTACATAATAATTAAAATAATTGTTAATATGTAATAATTGTTCTGATGACTTGAATAAATCAGTATTATTTAATTCAAAATAGAACTGTTGAAACCTAAGCACCGGAAGTTTATCATAGCAATAAATTGTATTTAATATAAATTAATCTAACAATTTTAACAAATTAATCACAAGAAGAATAATATTTTTCAACATATAGCACAATACATTTATCATATATGATACTCAAGTTAGGGCGAGTAATTTATATCAAAATGTTTTATATTAACTTTATTAAAATTTGGTAATCTTATAAAATTTATTGAATATTTTATATGGAATTTACTACAAATAAAGCGTTTCTCAAATTTCTACTATATAGATAATATTATTATATTTTCCAGGGAAAGAACAACTAGATTCTATCGAAAAAAAAAAAAACTGTAAAAGGTTGGGCGTCCCTGTTTCGTAGTACTGATAATAACAGTGTGTCCATTTTAAATTGACAGTTCAGTTTGACGGAAAATACATTTTTAGGTTATATCTCCAAATGTATACTTTATAATATATAATATAAATCGAATATAAGAAAACATTATTGCTTTCGTTATATATAGTTGTACGTTATATAAAGACAAATATTTCCTTTAAAATATTTCATTGCTTATAAGGCTAAATCATTGTTTAAGATAATGAATATATTACAAACTATTAGTTCCTACTACACGAGACAAAGGAGATCTGTAAAATATGGCTTACCATTTATGTTATTTATGGTGTGTGGCTCATTTGGATTGAAAGAATTTGCTCACTAAGGTACTGATAGAAAATGAATTAAAGAATCATAAGTTTTATAAAATGTAACGGTTTATTGGTAAAAACATTTCCATATCATTACATTCATATATCATTCTGGTTTAACTTGTACTACTTCGCTAAAATCATAAATTTTGTTATCCGTGATGTTTGTATCAATATCACTAGTTAACACTTTATCCACAGTGCCACCTAGCAAATGATAATGGTATTTAGCTTCATAGAAGCTACTGATCCTACACTTTCATCTATGTAAAA